TATTGAACCGGGGTTGGTTACCCATTATTGGTCTCTGCTAATGACCCGATAATGGCCTAGGAATGTATGGTACTAGTCTATCGGTTCATACATTTCCTTGATCGCGATCTTGATTAAAATGCCTAGGTAGGGATCGCCTTAATGGTCCGGAAGAAGGGGCTTTCGACTTGAATGTTAACGTCTTATGCTCGCACTTCTTTCATAATTTCTTTCGATCCTCGTCCGCTAACATCGCTTTATCTACCATTTTTGAAAGAGTATTGGTGATAGACATTCGTACCATGCTTCAAACTCTTGGGTTCAGCCTCGCTAAGAATCGATTTCTTTTCAAATTTTCATCCCCAACGATGAATGGGGCGATTCAACATCCTTGTTCAAATCCCTATACATATTCACCTACGAACATCCTATCTAACTTTAGTTCTAGGAAATCTTAAATTTTCTTGGCTCTCATATCTATGGTAAAGTATTTGTTCTAGAAGACTTCCTTAAATCCTTCCCAAATTAAGGTAGGCACGTCTACCGTCGATCATGCGCTCTCTCACCATGTGCGGGCATCCTTAGTCGGCATAAAGATAGCACACGACACTCACTCATTATTGATAAATTACAAGTATTCAAATATCACCTCTAAGGACTTAATCCATTCCTCCGCTACCATTGGGTCAACACCCCGACGAATTCCCGAGGATTCATCTTGCGGAACCTCTTCAATGCATCATTCCTTTGCTAAGGTGGCGGAGGTAGGGGCTATTGATGCATAGCCGGGAGATGTCTCATTTGCTCTACATGGTCTTGTTATTGTTGTCGCATTATTTTTTGTTGTTACCGCATCACGTCTACATACGACTTAAAACGTCCCGTTGATTTCTATTATGATAATTGGAGGTCCCTTCACCTCCTCGCTTCGTCGGCTCCTTTCTTGGCATGCTTTGAATTTGTGCATGCCATGTTATCCTCATGTTAGTTTTAGTATCAAAATCAAAATACAATGTAAATCATCTAGGTACGTATGAGATTATGCATGTGTATTAGATATATTAAGCACTTCATACAAAATAGACATTTACAAGCATTTCCCTTCCTAAGGGTTTTCGCACATATTGACAACCAAAAACGTGCTCCTAGCTACATAAAAAATTATACAAAAATTACTATGTTGCATATTATATCTTCCTTGTAGTATGTCTAACGTGACACATTAACGTATCGGACGTGTCGGGGAAAAATGCCCTCGACCCGCCACTAGTTGATAGCATCGACCGATGCGATAAGTGCTATCTCATGAGCAATACTTATAAGTAGACCCCAATTATACATGAGTCGGGTAAGGGTCTATATAACTTGCACTAGTAGGAAAGCTTGAATCGAGGTTTCGATAAGAATTATGATCTATTTGACTCGACCAAACCTCATCTAGGAACCGTTGGTCCCTCGGTAGGAGAGTTCGACATATGGTTGTCCTCATAAAATCTAGGCTATAGTATTGCTCAAACATGGCGTCGGCAAATACTATCTACCGAATCGAGTCATGTACTTTAGTGACATGAGTCACTATATCCCGATCCGTTGTCATGGTGAGGTTTTTTAGTTCCACCCAATAAGCAACCGAGAGGCCCTCCGTCCGTGGGTCTTAGCAACTTGGGGAACACATCGTACATATGGCATCTACAACGAAAATAATTACAAACATCATTAATTTCTAGGTTATGATCAATACTACTTTGAAAACATACAACCGGGATATACGGTTATTAACCAAATAAAAATAATGAATCAATCTTTTACCGTCCAGGAGCGTACTAGTCCTTAGGCTCATGTGACACTTAAGACACTACCCGACCTATGAAACCAAGGCTTTGATACCACCCTTTGGCGCTTCCACCCCAGTCCACTCTTTATTACCCAAATAGGGGTGGCCGGGCGAGGTGTATCACGCCGACATAATCTAATTCCGACTTAACTCTTTTATATACGTGCTAAAAAATTAATAACATAGTATAGACGAAAAGTGTAAAAAAAATTATATATCAATAGCAAATACCACTAAAAAAAATAAATTTACAAACCATTTAAAAGGTCATTTAATCCCCTATTGACATCGTACCCCCGAATTAGAAACAAAAATAGATTTCGATGTCTTTACATCACACATGAGCCTTTTTGGAGGATCCGGTAGCGTCCTTATCGGTATTATCATCGTTTTTACCTATCATGGCATGCGAGAACAAATAAGGTGAGCCGAAGCTCGGTAAGTAGGGTGATGCATGTGTTATGCAACGTTTTTCTACTTGCCCCCACTATTCTCATCAATTTGAAATGTTAAGGATACCCCAGGTATTAATAAGTCCGCTCTATTCTCGATAATTGTCGAATCACCTCGTAAATCATTTATCGCCAAAAACCTCGACAATCATTTACTATCGAATTATGTCGACAATCGATTCATCGTCGAATAACCTCGGTAATCATTTACTCGGCTCAATCCATCTCCAAATGCATATGATACAAGTGAAGTTACGTTTACCCTATTAAACACCTTACGAGTGCCGGACCCTAGATTATCAAATCATTCTCGAGATCCAACCCACATAGGGTTTTCGATATATTCCCATATCACTTCCATAATATTTCCCCCAAGGAAAATCAATTACTCTTGACTCATATTAGTAAAGTCATAAACTTTATGTTGCACGTAGGCACTTTCCTCTTGTTAAATTTAGTAAGTCTCATTGTACAATTCGTCCTTCACTTGAAGTATGTAATTAGTAGCATAACCACTTTAAAACATACTAAGGTGACATTTTCTCTCCGAACCCAAATTGGGGCATTTTGGGCTACATTGAGCTTTTAAATGTTCTAGGTAAAAATTTAGGTTTACCTAGCAATCTTTCCTATCTCAATGTCTTCTTATACTTATTAGGGTGTACTCAAACCATTAATTATAGAATTGAAGGATTGGAATCCAAATCCCTATAGTTTAGGGTTTAAGCCGAATAGGTCCTTAAAGTGGCCAAAGATTACTTTTTCATCCCAACTTACTAATGTATAACTAATTAAATTGTACTTGAGTCCTATGCCCTTAATTACATAAAAATGGGTCCAATCTTATTCATTTTCTCACTTAGGCTGAAAGGGTTCTTTAGTGAAACCCTAGGAATTCATTTTCCCCTCCTTTCTAATTTGTGGTTTATTATAGGGCGACCTCTAATCAAGTAGGAAACGTCCTAACTTTTAAGAATAATTAAATCCTATCCTTTTTTTTTTATTGGAAATTAAACATATTTATTCATAACATATCCAAAAATTAGGTTTAAATACCAAACACATAATTCATAACATAATTTTGAAGTTTAAGATTCAATCTATTTAGCGAGTAGTTCACCCAAACACGATCTATACTAAAACGAGCATAACTTTTTCTATATAAACCTAATAATAAAACTATTTTATAGAGAGCTATTCAAGACATGTATCAATAATTTGTATTCTTTAAGATTTACCCAGAAATCAACCTAAGGTCCTTGAATAGGCAATACCACGATCAAACGAAACTACTCCTCAATAACACCGATTTAGCTATTCATTTCAACCTACATTAACCATGTTTTAGTCCAATTAAATTTCAGTCCAAGTCCAATCCAACTCATTAACACATACTTGGACATGCACTAGGCATTATAAATATCACAATTCATCATCTACATAACATTCACAAGTAGATCAAGCCAATACGTCATAAATGCACCAACACAAACTAAGCTTAACAATACAACAAACAACTCTACCAATACATAAATCAAACATATAGAAAATGGAAATTAAAAGCATAAATAAAACCTACTTACATTGCTTTAACTTCCTAAAGATTTTTTAGGCTTTCCCTTCTTTTTTTTCTTCTTTCCTTTTCTTCCTTTCCTCTTTTGCCGTGTTTTCACTCTTTCGCACTTTGTTTTTCTCTCTTGTTTTGCAAACTACGATTTTGGACTAAAAATAGCAACCATATACTTCACTTATATATATATACACACAATTCATTTTCTTATAGTTAATAGGAATACAAATTTCCCAAACTAATATGGAAAAGTGTAAAGTGAGGGGTGACGAAATGGAGCAAGTGGTGGGTTTGTTTGGATTTGGCTAGTCGGGGTGTGTGAGCTGGCTTTTAACTCAATAATTAGGGTTCTTAGGTGCCCTAACTATGTAATAACTACATAACTGAACTAACTAATACCCTTAATCTAGTTTAGTTCCATTGACAAAGTCCCTTAAGGTAGTTTAGTTCAAGTAACAAACTTATTAAATCTTGTTGTATCGCATACATGACGGGGCAACCTCTTATCAAACAGAAAAATCCCTCTTCCTATGCCTTTTATATAAGAAACTAAACATATTAAGGTAGACCATATCCAAAAATTAGATTAAAAAACCCAACACACAAGTCACAACAAAATTTTAAAGTTTAAGGATTAATATGTCCATCAGTATTGCATCTAGAGCAAGTATGCACTAAAATAGGCATAACATTTTATATATAAACCTAATAATCGAATATTTTACAGAGTGTTATTTAAGACATAGATAAAAAACTTTAATTTTTAAGGTTTGCTTAGAAATCACTCTAAGGTCAATGAATAAGTCACACACAATTAGGACAAAATCTACTTCTCAAGAACACCGATTTTGCATACTTGATTATGCTAATAATTAAACCATCAATATCAAGTAAATTTGTTTTAATTTAACACAAATCATACATTTTAGGCATTAATTTCTCATGGTGTAATTTTTCAAAATTTTATTCCATAAATCCTCACCTAAACACCTAGTATGTTGTCATCCCAAAATACTCTAATGGCACATTTACACAATCACACCTTCACTTATTTGAAGATTTCGGCCTATACATACATACATACATACATACATACATACATACATACATACATATATATATATATAATTAAAGATTTTTACGGGGGTTACGACTACTTTGAAAAATGGAGAGAGTCCACGAAGAAGAAGATGGAGGTGATGGTGATGATGACGAGGGATTTTCGGAGCGATTTTCATCTATTATGTTAGAGATATACCGAGTCGAGCTCCTAAGGCTTGCACTCCTCTCTTCTTTCTTCTCCTTTGTTAGTGCATATATATAACGATGAAGTAGCAAGAAACACAACAATAATTGTTTTGCCTTTTCCGATATAAGTACAACCATAAAGATTTCGAAAGGAAAATTATCTATTGGGTGAAAGATAGACATCCATCAAATTTTTCGTACCAATGTACTTGAATCAAATGTCTTTCTTTCAATTCACTTAATTTCTTTTTGAATAATTCCAACAAAATTTTAAATCCGCATTAATTATCAAATTTCTTCTTATTAAAGTAAGGGCAATTATTAGCAACACCTAATACCAATTAATGTGGCTTGGAATCGAAGGTAAGAATATCTAATAAGCATGTGGTATCGAATAAGGTGAAGCTACCCTATATAATCCATCGAATTTGGCCTACAAAATCCACAAAAGACTTCAACCAAAATCTCAACCCTAATCAATGGTGCTGCCTTTGAAAGTTAGTAGTGCTTCTTCAAAAAATTGAGAGAGTCTATAAAGAAGAAGATGGAGGTGATGGTGATGATGATGAGGTATTTTTAGAGCGATTTTCATCTATCATGTTGGAGATATACCAAGTCGAGCTCCTAAGGTTTGCACTCCTCTCTTTTTTTTTCTTCATTGTTAGTGTATATATATAATGGTAAAATAGCAAGAAACACAAGTAATAAGTTTTCTCCCTTTTATGAGATAAGTATAGCCATAAAGATTTGGAAGGGAACATTATCTACTAGGTGAAAGATAGACATCCATCAAATTTTCTCGTACCAATGGATTTGAATCACATATCTTTCTTTCAATTCACTTAATTTCTCTTTGACTAATTCCAACAAAGTATTTAATCGACATAAATTATCGGATCTCTTTTAATTAAAAAAAGGGTAATTATTAGCAACACCTAACACGAACCAATATGGCTTTGAATGAGAAGGTAAGAAAATCCAATAAGCATGTCGTATCGACTAGGAAGGTGAACGTACGCTATATAATCCATCGAATCCGGCCTATAAAATCCATCAAACACTTCAACCAAAATCAGAATCCTAATTAGTGTTTCTACCTTTAAAAATTTTGGTAGTGCTTCTTTGAAAAATGGAGAGAGTCCATGAAGAAGAAGATAGAGGTGATGGTGATGATGATAAGGGATTTTCGGAGCGATTTTCATCTATCATGTTGGAGATATACCAAGTTGAGCTCCTAAGGTTTGCACTCCTCTATTTTTTCTTCTTGTTTGTTACTCGTACATATATAATGATGAAATAGCAAGAAGCACAACAATAAGTTTTTTTCCTTTTCCGAGATAAGTACAACCATAAAGATTTGGAAGGGAAAATTATCTATTGGGTGAAAGATAGACATCCATCAATTTTTCTATACCAATGGATTTGAATCAAATCTCTTTCTTTAAATTCACTTAATTTCTTTTTTAATAACTCAAACAAAAATTTCATCCAAGCATTAATTATAAAATTTTTCTACCTAAAGTAGGGGCAATTATTAGCAACACTTAGCACAAATTAATGTGGCTTTGAAGGAGAAGGTAAGAAATTTCAATAAGCGAGTGGTATCAAAGAAGAAGGTGAAGCTACCCAAAATAATGCATCGAATCTAGCCTGTAAAATTCACCAAACACTTCGAAAAAATCACAACCCTAATTAGTGGTGCTCGCATTTGAAAAAATTAGTAATGCTTGCTTTGAAAAATGGAAAGAGCCCATGAAGAAGAAGATGGAGGTGGTAGTGATGATGATGAGGGATTTTCGGAGCAATTTCATCTATCATGTTGGAGAAATACCAAGTCGAGGTCCTAAGCTTTGCACTCCTCTCTTTTTCTTCTTCTTTGTTATTATATATATATAATGATGAAATAGCAAGAAACACAACAATAAGTTCTTTCCCCTTTCCGAGATAAGTACAAACATAAAGATTTGGAAGAAAAATTATCTATTGGGATAAAGATAGACATCCATCAAATTTCGTGCAAATGGATTTGAATCAAATCTCTTTCTTTCAATTCACTTAATTTCTTTTCTAATAGTTCCAAAAAAATTTTAATCGACATTAATTATTAAATTTCTTCTAATTAAAGTAGAGGCAATTACTAGCAATACCTAACACGAATTAATGTGGCCTTGAATGAGAAAGTAAGAAAATCCAATAAGCATGTGGTATCGAATAAGAAGGTGAAGGCACACTATATAATCCATCGAATCCGGCCTAAAAAATCCACCAAACACTTCAACCAAAATCAGAACCCTAATTAGTGGTTCAACCTTTGAAAAATTTAGTATTCGTTGCTTTGAAAAATGGAGAGAGTCTTTGAAGAAGAAGATGGAGGTGATGGTGATGATGATGAGGGATTTTTAGAGCCATTTTCATCTATCATGTGGAGATATACCAAGTCGAGCTCCTAACATTTCCACTCCTCTCTTTTTTCTTCTTCTTTGTTAGTGTATATATATATATAACGATGAAATAGCAAGAAGCACAACAATATTTTTTTTCCTTTTTTGAGATAAGTACGATCATAAAGATTTTGAAGGGAAAATTATCTATTGGGTGAAAGATAGAAATAAATCAAAGTTTCTATACCATCGGATTTGAATCAAATCTCTTTCTTTAAATTCACTTAATTTCTTTTTTAATAATTCAAACAAAATTTTCAATCGGCATTAATTATCAAATTTCTTCTACCTAAAGTAGGGGCAATTATTAGCAACACCTAACACAAATTAATGTGGCTTTGAATGAGAAGGTAAGAAAATCCAATAAGTAGGTGGTATCGAATAAGAAGGTGAAGCTACCTAATATAATGCACCGAATCCGGCCTGTAAAATCCACCAAATACTTCAGCAAAAATCACAACCCTAATTAATGGTGCTGGATTTGAAAAAATTAGTAATGCTGCTTTTAAAATGGAAAGAGTTCATGAAGAAGAAGATGGAGGTGGTAATGATGATGATGAGGGATTTTCGGAGCGATTTCATCTATCATGTTGGAGAAATACCAAGTCGAGGTCCTAAGCTTTGCCCTCCTTTCTTTTTTCTTCTTCTTTGTTAGTGTATATATATAATGATGAAATACCAAGAAACACAACAATAAGTTTTTTCCCCTTTCGAGATAAGTACAACCATAAAGATTTGGAAGAAAAATTATCTATTGGGATAAAGATAGACATCCATCAAATTTACGTGCCAGTGGATTTGAATCAAATCTCTTTCTTTCAATTCACTTAATTTCTTTTTTAATAGTTCCAAAAAAATTTTCAATCGGTATTAATTATCAAATTTCTTCTAATTAAAGTAGAGACAATTACTAGCAACACCTAACACGAATTAATGTGGCCTTGAATGAGAAAGTAAGAAAATCCAATAAGCATGTGGTATCGAATAAGAAGGTGAAGGCATGCTATATAATCCATCGAATCGGGTGTAAAAAATCCACCAAACACTTCAACCAAAATCATAACCCTAATTAGTGGTTCTAAGTATGAAAAATTTACTATTGTTGCTTTGAAAAATGGAGAGAGTCTATGAAGAAGAAGATGGAGGTGATGGTGATGATGATGAGGGATTTTTAGAGCGATTTTCATCTATCATATGGAGATATACCAAGTCGAGCTCCTAAGGTTACCACTCCTCTCTTTTTTCTTCTTCTTTGTTAGTGTATATATATATAACGATGAAATAGCAAGAAGCACAATAATATTTTTTTTCCTTTTTAGAGATAAGTACAGTTATAAAGATTTTAAAGGAAAAATTATCTATTGGGTGAAAGATAGAAATCAATCAAAGTTTCTATACCATTGGATTTGAATCAAATCTCTTTCTTTAAATTCACTTAATTTCTTTTTTAATAATTCAAACAAAATTTTCAATCGGCATTAATTATCAAATTTCTTCTACCTAAAGTAGGGGCAATTATTAGCAACACCTAACATAAATTAATGTGGCTTTGAATGAGAAGGTAAGAAAATCCAATAAGTAGGTGGTATCGAATAAAAAGGTGAAGCTACCTAATATAATGCACCGAATCCGCCCTGTATAATCCACCAAACACTTCAGCAAAAATCACAACCCTAATTAGTGGTGCTGCATTTGAAAAAATTTAGTAGTGCTTGCTTTGAAAAATGGAGGAAGTCCATGAAGAAGACGATGGAGGCGGTGGTGATGATGATTAAGGATTTTCGAGCCATTTTCATCTATCATGTTTGAGGTTTACCGAGTCAAGCTCCTAAGATTTGCATTCCTCTCTTTATTCTTCTTCTTTCTTACTACATATATATAACGATGAAATAGCAAGAAACACAATAGTAAGCTTTGTTCCTTTTCCGAGATAAGTACAACCATAAAGATTTGGAAGAAAAATTATCTATTGGGATAAAGATAGACATCCATCAAATTTCTGTGCTAGTGGATTTGAATCAAATCTCTTTCTTTCAATTCACTTAATTTCTTTTTTAATAGTTCCAAAAAAATTTTCAATCGGCATTAATTATCAAATTTCTTCTAATTAAAGTAGAGGCAATTACTAGCAACACCTAAAATGAATTAATGTGGCCTTGAATGAGAAAGTAAAAAAATCCAATAAGCATGTGGTATCAAATAAGAAGGTGAAGGCACGCTATATAATCCATCGAATCCGGCCTAGAAAATCCACCAAACACTTCAACCAAAATTAGAATCCTAATTAGTGGTTCTACCTTTGAAAAATTTAGTATTGCTGCTTTGAAAAATGAAGAGAGTCTTTAAAGAAGAAGATGGAGGTGATGGTGATGATGATGATGATGGATTTTAGAGCCATTTTCATCTATCATGTGGAGATATACCAAGTCGAGCTCCTAAGGTTTCCACTCCTCTCTTTTTTCTTCTTCTTTATTAGTGTATATATATATAACGATGAAATAGCAAGAAGCACAACAATATTTTTTTTCCTTTTCTAGGATAAGTACAATCATAAAGATTTTGAAGGGAAAATTATCTATTGGGTGAAAGATAGAAATCAATCAAAGTTTCTATACCATTGGGTGAAAGAAACTTTGATTGATTTGAATCAAATCTTTTTCTTTAAATTCACTTAATTTCTATTTTAATAATTCAACCAAAATTTTCAATCGGCATTAATTGTCAAATTTCTTCTACCTAAAATAAGGGCAATTATTAGCAACACCTAACATAAATTAATATAGCTTTGAATGAGAACGTAAGAAAATCCAATAAGCGAGATGGTATAGAATAAGAAGGTAAACCTACCCAATAGAATCCATCGAATCCGGCTTGTAAAATCCACCAAACACTTTAACAAAAATCACAACCCCGATTAGGGGTGTTGTGTTTGAAACATTTAGTAGTGCTACTTTGAAAATTGGAGAGAGTCCATGAAGAAGAAGATGGAGGAGGTGGTGATGATGATGAGGGATTTTCCGAGCGATTTTCATCTACAATGTTGGAGATATGCCATGTTGAGCTCCTAAGGTTATCACTCGCTCATTTTTTTGTTCTTCTTTGTTAGTGTATACATATAACATTGAAATAGCATGAAACACAACAATAATGTTTTTTCCGTTTCCGAGATAAGTACAACTATAAAGATTTGGAAGGGAAAATTATCTATTGGGCGAAAGATAGACATCTATCAAATTTTTTGTACCAGTGGATTTGAATAAAATGTCTTTTTTTCAATTCATTTAATTTCTTTTTAAATAACTCTAACAAAATTTTAAATAGACTTTAATTATCAAATTTATTCTAATTAAAGAAGGGAGAATTATTAGCAATACCTAAGATCAATTAATGTGGCTTTGAATGAGAAGATAAGAAATTCCAATAAGAAGGTTGTATCGAATAAGAAGGTGAAGCTACCCTTTGTAATCCATCGAATCCGGCCTATAAATTCATCCAAAGACTTCAACAAAAATCACAACCTTAATTAGTGGTGCTACCATTAAGAAATTTAGCGAGGTCGCTTTAAAAAATGGAGAGTCCATGAAGAAGAATATGGAGGTTGTGGTGATGATGAGGAGGGATTTTTAGAGCGATTTTCATCTATCATGTAAGAGATATACCAGTTTGAGCTCCTAAGCTTTGCACTCCTCTCTTTTTTCTTCTTCTTTGTTAGTGTATATATATAATGATGAAATAAAGAAAAACACAACAATAAATTTTTTTCTCTTTTTGAGATAAGTACAACCATAGAGATTTGGAAAGAAAAATTATCTATTGGGTTAAAGATAGACATCCATCAAACAAGTTTGTGCTAGTGGATTTGAATCAAATCTCTTTCTTTCAATTCACGTAATTCCTTTTTTAATAGTTCCAACAAAATTTTCAATCGGCATTAACTATCAAATTTCTTCTAATTAAAGTATGGGCGATTAGTAGCAACACCTAACGCGAATTACTATGGCTTTGAATGAGAAAGAAAGAAAATCCAATAATTATGTGGTATCGAATAAGATGGTGAAGGTACATTATATAATCCATCGAATTTGGCCTATAAAATCAAACAAACATTTCAACAAAAATCAAAACCCTAATTAGTGGTGCTGCTGCCTTTGAAAAATTTAGCAATGTTACTTTGAAAAATGTAGACGATCAATGAAGAAGAAGATGGAGATGGTGGTGATGATGATGAGGGATTTTCGAAGCGATTTTGATCTATCATGTTGGAGATATACCAAGTCAAGCTCCTATGGTGTGCACTCCTCTCTTTTATCTTCTTCTTTGTTACTTGTATATATATATATATATATATATATATATATATATATATATATATATATATATATATATAATGATAAGATAGCAAGTAACACAACAATAAGTTTTTTTTCCTTTTCTATGATAAGTACAACCATAAAGATTTGAAAGGAAAAATTGGCTATTGGGTGATAGATAGACATCCATCAAATTTTTCATACATGTCGATTTGAATCAAATCTCTTTGTTTCAATTCACTTAATTATTTTTTAACAATTCCAACAAAATTTTCAATTGACATTAATTATCAATTTTCTTCTAATTAAAGTAGGGGTAATTATTAGGAACACCTAGCACCAATTAATGTGGCTTTGAATGAGAAGGTAGGGAAATCCACTAAGCATGTTGTATCGAATAAGAAGGTGAAGCTACCCTATATAATCCACTCGAATCCGGCCTATAAAATCCAACAAACACTTCAACCAAAATCACAAACCCGATAAGTGGTGCTGCCTTTGAAAAATTTAGTAGTCGTTGCTTTGAAAAATGGAAAGAGTCCATTGAGAAGAAGATGGAGGTGGTGGTGATGATGATGAGGGATTTTCGGAGCGATTTTCATCTATCATGTTGGAGATATACCAAGTCGATATCCTAAGGTTTGTACTCTTCTCTTTTTTCCTCTTCTTTGTTAGTGTATATATATTATGATGAAACAGCAAGAAGCACAACAATAAGTTTTTTTTCCCTTTATGAGATAAGTACAACCATAAAGATTTGGAAGAAAAAATTATCTATGGGGTTAAAGATAGGCATCCATTAAATTTTCTATGCTCGTGGATTTGAATCAAATGTCTTTCTTTCAATTCACTTAATTTCTTTTTAAATAATTCCAACAAAATTTTCAATAGGCATTAATTATCAAATTCTTCTAATTAAAGTAGGGATAATTATTAGCAACACGTAAGACTAATTAATGTGGCTTTGAATGAGAAGGTAAGAAAATCCAATAACCGAGTTTATATTGAATAAGAAGGTGAAGCTACCCTATGTAATCCACCGAATCCGGCCAATAAAATAAAACAAACACTTCAATCAAAATCACAAACTTAATTAGTGGTGCTGGCTTTGAAAAATTTAGCAGTCGTTGCTTTGAACAATGGAGAGAGTCCATGAAGAAGAAGATAGAGGTGGTGGTGATGATGATGAGGGATTTTCGGAGCGATTTTCATATATCATGTTGGAGATACACCAAGTCGAGCTCCTATGGTTTGCACTCCTCCTTTTTTCTTCTTCTTTCTTAATGTATATATATAATGATGAAATAGTAAGAAACACAACAATAAGTATTTTTCCTTTTCTAAAATAAGTATGGCCATAAAGATTTGGAAAGAAAAATTATCTATTAGGTGATAGATAGACATCCATCAAATTTTCCGTACTCGTGGTTTTGAATCAAATATCTTTCTTTCAATTCACTTAATATTTTTTTAACAATTCCAACAAAATTTTCAATCGACATTAATTATCAATTTCTTCTAATTAAAGTAAAGGCAATTATAAGCAACACTTAACACCAATTATTATGGCTTTGAATGAGAAAGTAAGAAAATCAAATAAGCATGTTGTATCGAATAAGAAGGTGAAGCTACCCTATATAATCGACTAAATCGGCCTAGAAAATCCACCAAACACTTTAAGAAAAATCAAAACCTTGATAAGTGGTGTAGCCTTTGAAAAATTTAGTAGTGCTTGCTTCGAAAAGTGGAGAGAGTCTATGAAGAAGAAGATGGAGGTGGTGTGGTGATGACGAAGGATTTTGAGAACGATTTTCACTTATCATGTTGGAGATATAACAAGTCGAGCTCCTAACGTTTGCACTCCTCTTTTTTCTTCTTCTTCTTTGCTAGTGTATATATATAATGATGAAATAGCAAAAAAACACAACAATAAGCTTTTTTGCTTTTCCGAGATAAGTACGACTATAAAGATTTGGAAGGGAAAATTATCTATTGGGCGAAAGATAGACATCCATCAAATTTTCTACACCAGTGGTTTTGAATCAAATCTCTTTCTTTCAATTCACTTAATTTCTTTTTGAATAATTCCAACAAAATTTTCAATAGGCATTAATTATCAAATTTCTTATAATTAAAGTAGGAAAAATTATTAACAATACCTAACACCAATTATTGTAGCTTTGAATGAGAAGGGAAAAACATCTAATAAGTAGGTTGTATCGAATAAGAAGGTGAAGCTACCTAATGTAATCCATTAAATCTAGCCTATTAAATCAAACAAACACTTCAACCAAAATCACAACACTAATTAGTGGTGCTGCCTTTGAAAATTTTAGTAGTGTTGCTTTGAAAAATGGAGAGAGTCCATGAACTAGAAGATGGAGGTGGAGGCGATGATGATGACGGATTTTCAAAGTGATTTTCATCCATCATGTTGGAGATATACCAAGTTGAGCTCCTAAGGTTTCCATTCCTTTTTTTTCTTCTTCTTTGTTAGTCTATATATATAACGATGAAATAGCAAGAAACATAAAAATAATTTTTTCCCTTTTTTGAGATAAGAGCAAGCATAAAGATTTGGACGGGAAAATTATCTATTTGGTGATAGATAGACATCCACCAAATTTTTTGTACTAGTGAATTTGAATCAAAAATCTTTTTTTCCATTCACTTAATTTCTTTTTGAAAACTTCCAACAAAAATTTCAATTGGCATTAAGTGTCAAATTTCATCTAATTAAAGTAGGGGTGACTATTAGCAACACCTAACACAAGTTAATGAGGCTTTGAATGTGAAGGCAATAAAATCAAATAAGCATGTGGTATCAAATAAGAAGATGAAGCTAGCCTATAAATTTCACCAAACACTTCAACCAAAATCACAACCCTAATAAGTGGTATTGCCTTTGAAAAATTTAGTAGTGCTTGCTTCAAAAAATGAAGGTAGTCTATGAAGAAAAAGATGGAGGTGGTGGTGATGATGATGAGGGATTTTCTAAGTGATTTTCCTCTATCATGTTGGAGATATACATGTTTGAGCTCCTAAGGTTTGCACTCCTCTCTTTTTTCATCTTCTTTGTTAGTGTATATATATAACGATGAAAGAGAAAGAAACAAAAAAAATAAGTTTTTTTCCTTTTTTGAGATAAGTACAGCCATAAAGATTTGGAAGGGGAAAATTATCTATTTGGTGAAAGATAGACATCCATCAAATTTTCTATACCAAAGGATTTGAATCAAATATCTTTCTTTCAATTCATTTAATTTCTTTCTAAATAATTCCAACAAAATTTTCAATCGGGATTAATTATCAAATTTTATCTAATTAAAGTAGGAGCAATTATTAGTAGCACTTAACATCAATTAATGTGATTTTGAATGAGAAGGTAAGAAAATCCAATAAGTAGGTGGTATCGACTAAGAAGGTGAAGCTAACCTTTATATTACATCGAATCCGGCCTATAAAATCCACTAAACACTTCAACCAAAATCAAAACCCTAATTAGTGGTGTTGCCTTTGAAAAATATCACATTGCTTCTTTGAACAATGGAGAGACTCCATGAAGTAGAAGATGGAGGCGGTGGTGATGATGATTAAGGATTTTCTAAGCCATTTTCATATATCATGTTGGAGGTATACCAAGTCAAGCTCCTAAGATTTTCATTCCTCTCTTTTTTCTTCTTCTTTCTTACTACATATATATACCGATGAAATAGTAAGAAACACAACAATTAGCTTTTTTTCGTTTTTGAGATAAGTACAACCATAAAGATTTGGAAGGGAAAATTTGTATTGGGTGAAAGATAGACATCTATCAAATTTTAGTACTAGTGGATTTGAATCAAATCTCTTTCTTTCAATTCACTTAATTTCTTTTTTAATATTTCCAATAAAATTTTCAATCGACATTAATTATCAAATTCCTTCTAATTAAAGTAAGGGCAATTATTAGGAAAACCTAACACCAATTAATGTGGCTTTGAATGACAAGGTAAGAAAATCTAATAAGCGAGTGGTATTGAATAAGAAGGTTAAGCTACCTTATATAATCCATCGAATCTAGGCTATAAAATCAACCATACACTTCAACCAAAATAACAACCCTAATTAGTGGTGCTACCTTTAAAAAATTAGTAGTGTTGCTTTGAAAAATGGAGGGAGTTGATGAAGAACACGATGGAGGCGGTGGTGATGATGATTAAGGATTTTCAAAGCCATTTTCATCTATCATGTTGGAGATACACCAAGTCGACCTCCTAAGGTTTGCACTCCTCTCTTTTTTCTTCTTCTTTGTTAGAGTATATAGATAATGATGAAAAAGCAAGAAACACAATAATAATTTTTTTTCCTTTTCGAGATAATTAGAGCCATGAATATTTGGAAGGAAAAATTATCTTTTGGGTGAAAGATAGGCATCCATCAAATTGTATATACTAGTGGATTTAAATCAAATCTCTTTCTTTCAATTCATTTAATTTCTTTTTTAATGATTCCAACAAAATTTTCAATTCGCATTAATTATCAAATTTCTTCTAATTAAAATAGCGACAATTATTAGTATCACTTAACACCAATTAATGTGGTTTTGAATGAGAAGGTGAGAAAATCCTATAAGCAAGTGGTATCTAATAAGAAGGTGAAGCTAACCCTGTATAATCCCTCGAATCCGGCCTATAAAATCCACCAAACACTCCAACCAAAATCCAAAACCCTAATTAGTGGTGCTACCGTTGAAAAATTTAACATTGTTGCTTTCAAAATTGGAGAGAGTCCATGAAGAAGAGGATGGAGGCGGTGGTGATGATGATTAAGGATTTTCGAGTCATTTTCATCTATCATGTTGGAGGTATACCAAGTCAAGCTCCTAAGATTTGCATTCCTCTCTGTTTTCTTCTTTTTTCTTACTACATATATGTAATGATGAAATAGCAAGAAACACAACAAGAAGCCTTTTTTGCTATTTTGAGATAAGTACAACCATAAAGATTTGGAAGGGAAAATTATGTAATGGGTGAAAGATAATCTATCAATTTTTAGTACTAGTGGATTTGAATCAATTCTCTTTCTTTCAATTCACTTAATTTCTTTTTTTCAATTCACTTAATTTCTTTTTTAATGATTCCAACAAAATTTTCAATCGGCACTACTTATCAAATTTCTTCTAATTAAAGTAGGGGCAATTATTAGTAGCACTTAACACCAATTAATGTGGTTTTGAATGAGAAGGTAAGAAAATCCTATAAGAAGGTGGTATCTAATAAGAAGGTGAAGCTACCCTATATAATCCACTCGAATCTAGGCTATGAAATCCACCAAACACTTAAACCAAAATCACAACCCTAATTAGTGGTGCTACCTTGAAAAATTTTAGTAGTACTACTTTGAAAAATTGAGGGAGTCCAAGAAGAAGACGATGGATGCGGTGATGATGATGATTAAGGATTTTCGAGCCAGTTCCATCTATCATGTTAGAGATATACCAAGTC